AATAAAATTAAAAAAAGAAGAGCGCCTGGGTGGCTCAGTCAGTTAAGCATCTGCCTTCGGCTGAGATCATGATCCCAGGGTCCTGGGATCAAGGCCCAAGTTGGGCTCCCTGCTCAGCAGGGAGTCTGCTTCTCCCTCTCCCTCTGACCTTCCCCCCTGCTTGTGCTTTCTCATGGTTTCTCCTGCTCTCTCTCAAATAAGTAAAATCTTTTTAAAAAATTTGCTTAAATAAATAAATGCTTTTAAGAAACATGAAAAGCTTGAGGTCATCTACTTTAAATTTTAAAGCAGAATGAGGTCTTTATTCCTAGACAACCAATTGAGGCCCTGCACTAGCCTAAATGGATAATGTACCACTATCATTAATAAGAGGAGTGTTAGGAACACAGGCTATAGAATCAGACTATCTGGTTTGAATCCCACTGCTACCTCTCACTAGCTATGTGACCTTGGACAAGTTACCTTATTACTTGATCTTTATTACCTGATCTGAATTATGAAAATAATGACAGTACTTAACCTCATAGGGTTATAAAGATCACATGAATTACATTCAAAAGCACTAAGAACACGGACACTTGGTAAGTGTTCAATAAATGTTAGTTATTATCATTATTCACTGACTCCTACTGGATAGGAACATTATCCCCAAGTACTATGGCAGGCTATAAAGAAAGAGGCATTATTTGTACCCAGGACATTATAAGTAGAGGGGGAAAAATCATACATACATATATTTTTAAACCATGGAAACAAAAAAATATGTGTGTGTATACACACACATACACATACATATCATGGCAATTAGAGTCCTAAGTTTACATGTCTAGTGTTTCACTTTTCCACCACTTCCTTAGAAAACCAAATCCTCAGCAAATTCTGAAAGGACAAAAGGTAGACAATATTTGTTTAGCCCCACTTATAGCCAAGTGAAATGATGTCAGTAAAGTAAAAAATTTCAATCTTAGCATGTCCTAAAGTTCAGTATTCCATCTTCTGAGGGTACTTCATATTCACACAACAAAACCCATAAATAAAGACGATTCCCTCTGCCAATACCATGACCATAGGAAACATTTGTATTCATCTCACATTTTTACTTAAGATAATGTAACTAAGGAAATAGCAGATTAACACCTTTATGGCATTTAGACCTATTTTTATATCCAGGACATTATGTCCACTTTAGGTTTCTGTGGAGATACGTCAAATAATGACACATTTATGATTATTATATTTATTCTAGAAGGAATACATAAAAACACATTTCATGAACAAGTTGTTCTTCCATGATATCCATACCAATACTATCTCAAATTGTTGCTATTAGTCGGAAATGAAAAGAGAATCTCTTTAAGCCACTCACATCCATTATACTTAGGTGTCTAAGATTATCTCATTAGGTCCTAAGAACACTTTAATAGAAAATAACGCAAGTTTAAGAGAAAACTTCAGGATTAAACATTGTTCCATGAAGCTTAAATATACCAAGTATATCTATTCTTAGAACTACTTAATTCCTCCTATAATCTTCTGATTTCAAAGGAAAGGCTAAAATGGATTTGTATCCATAATATATTCAGAAATTAGTAGGGAATACTTACTTTTGAAGTGACCTAGTAATAGGAACCATACTTTCCTTCAACTGTAATTTAGAGAAATTATCTTCTGAAACCTATTAAAAACACCAAATATAACCAGTTATTGAAAATATTATGTAACTATAAACTTAAATACTATTTAATATGTGAATAATAAGAATAATAAAAAATATTGTCTGCATTTCCAAGGAAATAATTCTAGCAAATAATTTTCAGTGAAGCATTACATATTTTCTCTTTATTCTAGGGGTGCCTGGGCGGCTCAGTCAGTTAAGCGTCCACCTTCGGCTCAGGTCATGATCCCAGGGTCCTGGGATCAAGCCCTATGTTGGGCTCCCTGCTCAGTGGGGAGCCTGCTTCTCCCTCTCCCACTGCCCCCCTCCCTGCTTGTGCTCTCTCTCTCTCTCTGTCAAATAAATAAATAAATAAAATCTTTTTAAAAATAAATATTTTCTCTTTATTCTAAAAATATAACTACTTAGATTCATCTTTCATGTACACTTTTTTTTTTTTTTAAAGATTTTTTTATTTATTCATTTGAGACACAGAGATAGAGAGAGAGAGAGCATGAGCAGGGGGAGAAGCAGAGGGAGGCGGAGAAGCAGACTCCCCGCGGAGCAGGGAGCCCGATGCAGGGCTCAATCCCAGGCCCCTGGGATCATGACCTGAGCTGAAGGCAGATGCCCAACCATCTGAGCCACCCAGGCACCCTTTCATGTACACTTCTAAATGTATGTCCAATAAAAATAAAACCTTGACTTGAAATTATAACTGTAAGAACAAGGTTATGTCTCAATGATGTCTAAAAAAGGATGGAATACACTCTATATGTTAATGTAATAATCATTAAAATGTATAGACAAGAATTAAGTAATACAGTTCCTAAGAGCTGATCCGTTCATATGTAATTAAAACTGAATTTCATAAAGCTCTACTGAATAAGAATTAAAAAAACCAATGACAATAAAAATATTTAAGTATTTACCAGCTATTTTTTATCAGGTGTCAAGTACTATATAATAAGTACTTCACAGAGTTTATCTCATTTTACAGAAGAGGAAGCTGAAACTAAAGAGGTTAAGTGATTTGTACAAATATTGCACTTGCTAGTTAAGTGGCAGAATTAGAATTCAAAATTGGATTTAGGAGAACATAAACTCTCTGTAAACACTATACTACTGTGAAGAAAATTCAATCCCTACAGAACAGTAGCCCAAAGCACTAAGAGATTTCCAAGTTCCTAGGAAATACACAAAAACATAATGGGTTTTAAAATAAAATTTTACATCAGCTATAAGAAGAGCCAAACTCATGGTAACCAAACAAAATTTCAGAAGACAAAGGTTATGTGGAGAAGTCTAAGGTTGAAAAGGTTTTCCAGGCCTCCCCAAATATAAATACAAAAAGTTGGATTATACCGATAATTTTATAGGGCATTAAAAAACAACTCCTATGGGTGCCTGGGTGGCTCATTCGTTAAGCGTCTGCCTTCGGCTCAGGTCATGATCCTGGGGTCCTGGGATCGAGTCCCACATCGGACTCCCTGCTCGGCAGGAAGCCTGCCTCTCCCTCTCCCACTCCCCCTGCTTGTGTTCCTGCTCTAGCTATCTCTCTCTCTGTCAAATAAATAAAAAATAAATAAATAAATAAAAATCTTTAAAAAAAAAAACAACTCCTACAATCCTTCCATATTACAGTTGTAATGCTGGTAGATCTAAATAAGATGTTGTATTTACAACCATAAACTAAATAGAACAACCCATTCAGGGGTACACACAACTACAGAAATCTAATAGTATTATAATTAAGTTAATTTCTGAAAAAAGTAACAATTAGCACAACTCTACAACATGTGTTATGTGGCATGCTTATTAACATATAACTATAGTGGTCAAGCTGAAAAAGATCTAGGAAGAAATCATATCTTCAGAGATCTCAATTCACATTCGTAGATCTCAATTCATAAATCAAGTCTGTGCTTACTTGCTTAATCTCTTCTTTCAGTTCTGCTGTTTTATTCTGATTAAAACTTTCTTGTACTGCTTGAAGATTAAATAACATTTGTTTCAGTGCTTCAACAGGACCATGATGTTTCCCTCCAGAAAGGGTACAGCTCTGAGGTTAAAACAGATGAAACCAAGCAATTCAGGGAGGAAAAAGTTACATTTTTTATTATTTTCCCCCAATATAAAATTAGTGCAAAAATTCAAACCGTACAATCAATAATGTGTTTTGAAAAATCAAAATTGTAACTCAACACCTCCCTTTACCCAGTCCCCAGATAAAGTTACTTACAGACAACCATTATTAAAGTTAGGCAATATTCTTTCTAGTCTCTGCTCTTTTCAAATGAACGGTACACCTTCACATTTGCAATACATTCATTTATACATTTAAAATCATAGATTTTTTAGAACTGACAAGCTCAGGTAGGCCAACATGCTCTTTTTGGGTATGTAAATGAAGCTGGTTATCAGCAGAACAGTGACTAGAATTTCAAATATGGCATTCTCTAAACACTTTTAAGTATGTTTTCACACAGAGAATGCTAGTTTTTCACTTATTCATTGGCCACACATTCCTTGCTACCTAAAAAACACGCATGCCTCAATTATCACTGATCTTACTTGCATTCAAGGAGGGCAACAGCACTAGATAAGGTGGTCAGGATTCTTTTAAGAGAATCTATAAGGGATATTTTTAAACTTCTTTTTTAAAGTCTTCTTACCAAACTCTTATTTTTACATCTTCCATATTACATACATCTTCAATATTATGTTATACATATTTCACCAGAATTTTAAAAATAAAGAAAAATAAACAGGGCTTAAGGATCCAATTAGCCTTGGGGCACTTGGATGGCTCAGTTGGTTGAGCATCCAACTCTTGTTTTTGGCTCAGGTCATGATCTCTGGGTCATGGGATGGAGCCCTGCGTCAGGTAGTCAGCTTGGGATTCTCTTCCTTCCCTCTCCCTCTGCCCCTCCCTTCCTCCCTCCCCCTCTCTCTCAAATAAAAATAAATAAATCTTTAAAAAAAAAAAAAGGATCCAATTAGCCTTATACTCCTGACTCTTGACTCTTGTGGACAGCACCTGAAGCATTATCTCTAAATTACCTCCATCCAGCCACTGACTTAGAAGAATTTCTGGCTGCCTGATGCCAACCATAAGGGTTACAAAAGCCTGCCTCTGGAGTGAATTTTTCACGCAAACTAGTGATCAGAGTTCCAAAAAGAAAACTACGAGAAACAGATTATATGAACTGTTTGTGCCATTCACTAATGAATATTTAATAAATGTTGGTATGTCTGATAGAATTTGTCCTGAGACTCATCATTAAAACCTGGTAGTGAGGGCACCTGGGTGGCTCAGTTGGTTAAGCCACTGCCTTCGGCTCAGGTCATGATCCTGGAGTCCCGGGATCGAATCCCGCATCAGGCTCCCTGCTCAGTGGGGAGTCTGCTTCTTCCTCTGACCCTACCCCCTCTTGTGCTCTCTCTCTCTCACTCTCTCTCTCAAATAAATTAAAAAAAATAAAAATAAAACCTGGTAGTGAATGTCTTGGAGTATATCTTTTTATATAGCTCTCTCAGAACTACAGTAATGTTTCACATATTAAAAAAACAAATAATTTAAACCAAATAGGATGTGGTTTAAACTCAATATATACAATAAAAATGAACCACCTAACAGAATTACAATTGAACAATACGACCACAATGAAAGGTGTTGGGAAGAAATAATTAACCAAGGTAACTTTGGAAAGCAGTACTCTGACTGGATATTGTAAGGCTAAGATAAAAAGAACTATACATAAATAATGTGATCTAGTTAGTAAATTTGTTTCTTACAGGCATATGGATTAACAATTGCCAAATGTGTATGCTAAGAATGCACGAATAGTTAAGGGATTATGGATAATAGACGCGATTCTCACCAGTGGAAAGTTGTTACAAATAAGGAACAGGAAAGGCTAAAACAAACCCTGAAGGACTGGACTGGAGTCAGAGGTATCAGTATGAACTCATGATTTTATACATACATATAAAATATACAGATATAGAAATATAGATGTGCATGTGTGGATTAGTAAACATACATATTTCGTAGATCTGCCTGCTGAGAAAGTCTAGAATGAATAACATCCCAGTAGCAATAAGCACAACTAGTGCCCAGATCTTCATTTCTAAATGCCATTTTCCAGTTAAAAAAACATGGCCCCACAGAGAAGTGCTCCAAAAAAGGATGAGGACATGTCAAAAGGACACAGGGCCAACCTGAAGGAACTCCTTATGGCCAAAACTGGAACAATTTGAGCAACAAAGTAACAACATTGTATTAAAAACTTAGAATATCTATTTATGAGTCCCTATCGATATAAATAATTTAATTAATATATGGGGAGGAGAAGGAACAGTTCTTCATTCTACAAGATTTCAATTAAAAGAAAAGAAGATCCACCAATGGATGCTAAAATTAGTGAAATTTTGAGACTATTTGCACAGTGTCAAAGTATCTCCCCATATTTATTAATTACAAGGGGAAACTGTAATTTTACTAAAGGGAGAGACAGTAGACACTGTAGTGTTCAAGGTTAACATCACAAGTATTAACATATTATAATTTCATATATTATTATATTAACACATTGTTATGGACTGAATGTTTGTGTCCCCCTAAAATTCTTATGTTGAAGCCTAATCCCAATGTGATGGTATCTGGAGAAAGGACTTTTGTGAGGTAATTAGGTCACAAGGGTGGAGCCCTCATGAATGGGATTAGTGCCCTCCTAAGAAGAGACACAAGAGAGCTTGCTTCTTCCCTGTTCTCTGGCATGGGAGCTCTTATGGAGAAGATGGCCATCTGCAAACTAGGAAGCAGGACCTCACTAGAACCTTGATCTTGGACTTCTCACCCTCCATAACTGTAAGAAATAAATGTTTGTTGTTTAAGCCACCAGGTCTATGGCATATTTATTACAGTAGCCCAACTAAGACACATATCAGTAAATCAATGATATCAATATATCGTGAACCCTCTGGTATGATGCACTGAGAAGGGCATAGCATGATTTCTGTCACATTCTTGCCAAAAGCATAACCTCATTCTAATCATGAGATAACTTCAGACAAACCCAAATTAAGGAACTATCTACAAAATAACCAACCAACCAGTACTCTTTAAAAAGTGTCAAGGTCATGACAGACAAGGATAGACTGAGGAATTGTCACAGACTGAAGTAGATTAAAGAGACATGACAACTAAACACAATGTTGGACCCTGGAACAGGACATTGGTAGAAAAACTAGTGAAATCAGAGTAAGGTCTGTAGTTTAGGTAACAGAATTGTACCTATCTTAATTCCTTGTTTGTGATCATTATAGTATGGTATGTGAGATGATAACATTAGGGAAGCTGAAAGAAGGGTGATAAGAACCTTCTTTACATCTAAAATTATTAAAAACAAAACAGGGGTGCCTGGGTGGCTCAGTCGTTAAGCATCTGCCTTCGGCTCAGGTCATGATCCCAGGGTCCTGGGATCGAGCCTCACATTGGGCTCCCTGCTCGGCGGGGAGTCTGCTTCTCCCTCTCCCACTCCCCCTGCTTGTGTTCCCTCTCTCGTTGACTCTCTCTCTCTGTCAAATAAATAAATAAAAATCTTTAAAAAACAAAAACAAAAAAATAAAACAAAACAACCTGGTAGTGTAGTGAGATTGCGTGTGTACTGGCAGGGGAAAAGGGACCAGTTGGTTAGTATTTAACACTCATCCATCTCAAACTTAAAAGAACCTCTGCAAATTTATTCCTCTACCAGTGCTCTTTACCTAAGTAAATGCCACCACCCAATCTTTTAGCTGCTTGACTCAAACATCTTGGATTCATTCTCTGAATTGTATCTCCATCCTACTAGGTCTACCTTCAAAATACATGCCAAAGTCTACCCATTTCTGACTACCTCCAATGTACCCACCCTATGCCAATCCTATCCAGAAAGACTACAGAAGTTTCCTAACTGGGTTCCCTGCTCCTTCACCAGCTCCTTCTAAGTCTGTGCTCCACACAGCTGCCATTTTTTATTTTAAAATGTAGATCTGATCACTTCATTCCTCCACTCAAAACCCTCCAGTGACTTCTCATCTCACCTAAATAAAACAAAATCTTCATTCCATCACTTATAAGACCCTACATGATCTGGTTCCTGGTTACCTCTCCATCTTACCTCTTACCATCCTTTCCCTTGTTAATTCTGATCAAGCTACCCTAATGGACTCTAATATTCTTTGAATGTGCCAAATACAATTCTGCCTTGCGGTTTCTGCACTTACTATCACCTCTACATGTAAAGTTATTTCCCCATGTATATTTGGCTTATTCACTCATTTTAGATTTTTGCTCAAATATCAGCTCATTAAAGGTCATTCTTAACTACCCTAGCTAAAATTATACCCTTATTTTTCTATCCCAACTAATTTTTCTTCACAACATTTACAGTATTCCCTTATATATCACATACAATATTTTTGTTTAATTTTCTCTCTAATTGGAATAAAAAATACAAGACAAGGATTTCTTCTCTCTTATTCACTACTAGGGATACAGTTCCTAAAAAAAGTGCTTACTATTGATATATTTGCCAAAAAAATATTTGATTTCGTCGTTAAGCATCTGCCTTCGGCTCAGGTCATGATCCCAGGGTCCTGGGATTGAGCCCCGCATCTGGCTCCCTGCTCTGCGGGAAACCTGCTTCTCCCTCTCCCACTCCCCCTGCTTGTATTCCCTCTCTCACTGTTTCTCTCTGTCAAATAAATAAAATCTTTAAAAAAAAATTTTTTTTTGATAATTAAGCTTCACTTACCCAATATCTGCTATAGTATCTTACACAAAGTTCTAAGGTCAAACATACTCTGACAGCTTCTACTTTCTCTAGTAAATTTCACAGGAGTTCATTTTATTAAATTTTCAGCTAATCTTTGAGTGTTTAACCTCTCAAATCTTCCATATTTCAGGACCCCAAAAGTATGATTTTTTTTTTTAATTTTTATTTATTTATTTATTCATGAGAGAGAGAGAGAGGCAGAGGAAGAAGCAGGCTCCCAAGGAGCAGGGAGCCCGATGTGGGGCTTGATCCCAGGACCCTGGGATCATGACCTGAGCCGAAGGCAGACGCTTAACCATCTGAGCCACCCAGGCGCCCCTGTATGATTTCAATATTTAACAGCCATGGCTATATTTCTATGTCAAATGATATATAATTTCTTATGTGCACATGTACATATTTATACTTTATTTTAGGGTTACTTGCAAGATGCACATATGCTGATTTTGTAAAATTGGATAATAATTTTCCTATTTTCCTAAATTATAGAGATTTATCATTTTCTCTTAGAAACACAACTCTCAATAATCAACCATTGTATGGGAAAATATAACTCACTCTATAATGATATGCTTTATATACTGCCCCAAAAAACAAAACAAAAAAACCATGATAATTTAAGCTCTCTGTAGAGTTCAATCCCAGGTCCCTCTACTTTAGAATACTAAAACAAAATTATCAATAATTCTAGGAGCGATGGTTTAATGCACTTGTGTTGAAAAAGCAGGAATTTGGGTGCCTAGGTGGCTCAGATGGTTAAGCATCTGCCTTCGGCTCAGGTCATGATCTTCAGATCCTGGGATCAAGCCCCATGTCAGGCTCCCAGCTCAGCAGGCAGTCTGCTTCTCCCTCTCCCTCTGCCTCTGCCTTTCCCCCTGCTTGTATTCTCTGTCTCTCTCTCTTCCTCAAATAAATAAATCTTTAAAAAAGAAAAAAGAAAGAAAGAAAAAGAGGGAATTCAAATGAGTTTTTGTTTTTTAACATCTTAGAAATTAAAATCTGTGTATTAGTCATAAATCCTCTTTTAGTAAGTTAAAAAATCCTCTTTTAGTAAGTTAAAAAGATTTAACTTCACCCACCTGATTATCATTATTTAAAAAATCTTCAAGGAACCCTTTAGCACACTTTGCCCTTGAAGTTTGTTGAGGACTATCATCAGAATTAACAGGAACAGGAGATTTGCTAAATAGGATTTAAGGATACAAGATAGTAATTAAGTTCCCAATTCATAAAACTTAGTGTATAACTGAATGGTTATCATTTAAACAAAAATAGTCACCAAGAAACAACCATTATAGATATGATTCATATTGATTTTGCTTTGTAATTCCCTCATCTTCTCTCTAAACTGATACCAGAATCTAACCTTCCCTATCTCCTTGTTTCTCCTTTAAAGCTTTAAGGAAAAACTATGAAGAAAGTAAAAACATTAGTCTTTAACTAAATAAATAAGCCTTCAACTTACAGGCTATACTCTAAAATCTTGTTTGTTTGAAATAAGCAGTACATTTTTCCAAATAGACATGGTTTGTCACCCAGTGATAGTTAAAAACCCCCACAAATACATGAGTTTCTACTGGAATGGCAGTTACATGCTCTTCCATGTCAAAGCAATAGGACCTGCCCTCCAGAACTGGCATTAACAAAGAGGACAGGGGCGCCTGGGTGGCTCAGTCGTGAAGCGTCTGCCTTCGGCTCAGGTCACGATTCCAGGGTCCTGGGATCGCGTCCCGCATTGGGCTCCCTGCTCCTTGGGAGCCTGCTTCTCCCTCTCCCACTCCCCCTGCTTGTGTTCCCCTCTCTCGCTGTGTCTTTCTCTGTCAAATAAATAAAATCTTTAAAAAAAAAAAAACAACAGAAAACAAAGAGGACAGATTACAGTGGGGAAAAGATCAATTTTGAAATAAAAATTCCGGAGTTCCAATCCCAATCCCACTCACTATGTGATTATATGTAATTTATTTATCTAAATTTCAGTTTTATATTTGTAGTCCCACTTATCTTACAGAAGTACTGCATAAATTAACTCTATGTACCTGGAACATGTAATAGATGCTCAATAAATATTAGTTTATTTCTCGATGTTGCTTTTCTTTTTTCTTTTTTTTTAAAGATTTTATTTATTTGACAGAAAGAGACACAGCGAGAGAAGGGAACACAAGCAGGGGGAGTGGAAGAGGGAGAAGCAGGCTTCCCGCGGAGCAGGGAGCCCAAAGCGGGGCTCAATCCCAGGACCCTGGGATCAGGACCCGAGCTGAAGGCAGATGCTTAATGACTGAGCCACTCAGGCGCCCCTATTTCTTGATGTTTCAGGGTATAGTAGAGCAAAGGGCAACCCAAGCAAGTCAGAATTTTCCCAAAACAAATTCTATTAGTCATAGAGAATAAATAAAATCATTCTCTCTCTTATTCATATGTCAATATAAAATATGTTTCTAGGGACGCCTGGGTGGCTCAGTCAGTTAAACGTCTGCCTTTGGCTCAGGTCATGATCCCAGGGTCCTGGAATGGAGTCTCACATAGGGCTCCTTGCTCAGCAGGGAGCCTGCTCTCTCTCTGCTTGCCGCTCCCCCTGCTTGTGTGTGCTCACTCTCTCTCTCTCTGACAAAATAAATAATCTTTTAAAAAAATAAAAAATAAAAATAAATAAAATATGTTTCTAACTCAAGTGCTCAGATACCTAAGAATCTTTCTCTAACATTTAAATGTCACAATTCTAATTTTTCTTAGTAATTAACAATACTTCATTATTGACTCATTTGATTTGTAACTTACTATGAGCTTTTCTTGCTCCCAAGTAGTCTTTTTGCCCATTCTTTACCAAAAGAGTTTGCACATCCATCCTCTACCATCAAAAAGCATTTACCAGATTACTGAAGATAAGTGTGGGGTACATAGGGATTCATTATACTATTTTTCTACTTTTGTATTTCTTTGAAATTTTCCATTATAAAAATGTTAAATAAACAAACAAAAAAAGTAATTATCTGACTGTGATTGTGTTCTACCTTCTAGTACACTACCTTGAGTACTTCCTAGTCAATTTTTGTTTTGATGATAGATTGACAATAAGTTGTCAACATCACACTGAGGTCAGGTCTAATTCCTTCTCCTCACAGTCCATCATTCATTTTATGTACAAACATACCCATCATAATATGAATTCAATCTTCTAGAAGCCAACTTCTATACACAAGGTACTGGGCCAAACCAATGATTGTAATAATCATACAAGTGTAAATTATATTATCTAATCACATAATACACTACATGCATTCAAAAATTTTACTCTTAAATACCTCTTATACTATCTGCTCACCCATTTTGGTTGCAAGTGAAAGCAAAGTATTATAGTTATGGTACTTCACAAAGACCAACTGACAAGAAAATAATTAGAAAATAAGTTTAAGAATTAAGTGAGCTAGTTATTAACCCAAGTTTTAAAAATAAAGATACTATTGAACCAACAATTGAGAAATGAAGCTAAATATGGAAAAAAATATTCTGGATAATCATCACCACTATTAACAATTACAACAGAGCTCATCAAAAGTCAGAAATTGTTCTAAGTACTTTGTATATATTTTCTAATCAAATGAATTCTCACAGCAACCCCAAGTAGAAGAAGAACTTATATAAGGTCTTATACAAGGCAGAAGTAACTTGTACATAGTAGAATTTGTACAAAGCAGTAGTAATTTGTAAAAAGCAGAAGTATAACTTGTACAAGGTGTCAGCAAAGAAGTCACAGGGCTGGGATTCCTAACCAGAATTATATTCAGTGTCCATATTCAAAAAAATAAGATGTTCAACTGAGAAGTGATAAAAAAAAATGGATACAGGAATTAACAGACTCTGTCTATAACAGACTACAACAGAATGAAAGTTTAGACAACAGAAGATGATAAATTTTCAGAGCCTAAGGCAGGATATAGTGTTACCAAGAATGCATTTCTGATGAGTTCAGATGTAATAATATCCCTAAGGAAAAAAGCTTTCCTACCTAAGCTTAATTCTTACTCCACACTCACATTCATAGGTTTCTAGGTAAACACTATTTAAATTATTCTGAGAAGCTATGTCATAGGAAGGTTAAGCACACAAATGAAAATAATCTTAGAAACTACAAAAATTTATACCACAGACCATACAAAAATTGCACCACTGTTTAAGGAAAATAACTAAGAGAAAGTAAAATGTAAATGAAAAGAAATGGATAACTGCATAGCTCCATATATGGAGAGAATATAGAAGGAGAAAAAACTTAAAGTAAAAAGAAAATAACAACAATTTTATATCCTCAAACTGCAAAATAGTTGCTTTGGGCTATGATTCTTCATATTAAACATAAATCAGTATTTTATAGTGCAACACAAGAAACATGTAACAAAGGCGAAAGTTATAGAATGTGCCTAAGGTTATGAAACATTACACCATCTTGTAACAACTGAAAAATGCAATTTAAAGAAACAACACAAAGCAATGCTCTATACAACTAATGTCATTATTATTGTTAATTATCATTGAATTACTTAAAAAATAAATCAGCTGTTCACATGACATTTTTTATTTGGAAAACTAGGAAATTTTTCCATCGTAACTTACGTACAAAGTAACAGGAATATTTTCCCATGATCTTTCTGCTTCAAGTTTATCTAATGAACAAGGACTATCATCCTTCTTTGTAGACTTCGGTAACTCTTTAGTACAATGCTCTAGATTTCTCTTGGCCTTCAGGATAAGCAATTCAATTTTGTCACCTAATTTAAAAGATTAAATTAATTCAAGAGAAAAAATAAATAAAAAGCACAGCAAAATCAAAAAGGCAACAAATAAGAATTCAGATAATTTGGAATATACACATAACTGCAACAATAAACTTTTTTAATATGACATTTCAAAGAAGAAAAGGGGAGAAAAGACATTTCCTAAGCACAAAATGCTACGTAAATGAAGACCATAAGTGTTCAAAAGATTTGGGGCGCCTGGGTGGCTCAGTCGGTTAAGCGACTGCCTTCGGCTCAGGTCATGATCCTGGAGTCCCAGGATCGAGTCCCACATCGGGCTCCCTGCTCGGCAGGGAGTGTGCTTCTCCCTCTGACCCTCCTCCCTCTCATGCTCTCTCTCTCAAATAAATAAATAAAATCTTTAAAAAAAAAAAAAAGTGTT